ATAAGACTCGCCGGCCATAAGACCCGGTTGAAAACCGGGTTATTTAACTATTTTAACCGGGTCATATAACCCTTTTTGAATTAAATTTTAAGAAATTTGATTTTTTTAATATTTTTTTCAAAGAAAAAAAAATTATGGCCGAAAAACTAAGCGGGTGGAAAAAAAACTCAAGCCAATAAAGTCTGGACAATTGTCATGCTGGGGTGGGGGCACGTGTCAGCTCCTAGAGAGGTCACATGGCCGAATTTTCCTTTTTATTTTTCTTTTTTCTTTTAATCTTTTTGTTTTTGTCACATGTACTCTCAAAATAATTAATTTTCACTGAAAATTATCAAAATTTCGCAATTAATTACGAAAATTTCATATCATCTCGCAAGATTTTGACGATAAATAAAATCAAAACCCGCCATTTATTTTTTCAACCTTAAGGCCAAAAAATTTTCTCGCGGTTCCTACCATTTTTTGAGTTCCTATATATATATATATATATATATAAGATATATATATATATATATTATATATATATATATATATATATATATATATATCTATATATCTATAGGATCAGGTAGGAACTCAAAAAATGGTAGGAACCGCGCGAAAACAATTTTTGGCCTTAAGGTTGAAAAAATAAATAAATAAATAAATAAATAAATATATATATATATATATATATATATATATATATTATATATATATGTGTGTATTTGATAATTATATTTATGGTCTCATGATTATCTGATACATACATACATACATACATTATATAGATATATATATATATATATATATATATATATAATGCCGCGTGTGTGTGTATATATGTGTGTATATATATATATATATATATATATATATATATATATATATATATATATATATATATATATATATATCCTAATTATTGTTAGTTTAACAGGATAGCGTAACAATTAAGTACAATGCATATCTTAAATCTTGTCTAGCATAACTCCTACGTACTTAAAGTTTCATAGGGATTTGGTCATTATAACATCTAGGTATTACCTACTCCTAGATTATCGGGCATCATATCTTTTAGACATAGATCATAGCTTAAATCTAGGCATAATATCTACATTTATACTATCCTAAGGCATTTTACTTATAACATCTAAGTATTATCTATTCCTAGACTATCATAACTCTTTGGCACAATATCATATTTTACAACCAGGCATAGTATCTATAGCTACGTTATCCTAAGACATATATCTTTAATAAATGATTTGATATTTATAACATGAACATTTTTTTTAAAACCATTTGATAAGCCTGTATTTCCCCCCCCCCCCCTTTCCCCCCCCCCCCCCCCTATATTTTATAAAACGATAGAAAAAGGGGTCGTAAACTCACTTGTAAAGTGTGAAACCACTGAAGTAGGGTAGAATAAGGACTTGGGACTCGAAGATCGCCATAGGATTGATCGGACTCGAGAATATACATACTAGTAGCTAAAATGCGTAAATAACAACTTCTCTAAGATTTTAGAAAGGAATTTTGAAGTAGAGAACGAGAGAAAGGAAACAAATTGGAGTGAGGAACAATTGAGCAGCAAGAGGCTCTATTTATACCAAGTGTGCATCGCGCAAGGGAGGTGTACGTCGCGCCCTTGCGACATAGCTCCATTGCTTGCCTGGCACATGTTCGTTTCCTGCTGGTGCATCGTAACTCCTTCTAGAAGCACATGCGCGCCGCGCGTACCTCTTGCGTCAGACGCTTCTCGCAAAACTTCAAAGTTTTGTATCTCCTTCATACGAACTCTGTTTTCAATGTTCTTTATATTCACGCGTAGCTCTCAACAGGTACTGTAATTTTCCTTTAGGTTGTAATGGATAATTCTGACTTTTATTTTTAGCCCTTATTTTTAAATGATTTAATGATTTTATAAAAATCATAACTCTCTCGTACGGACTCCGATTTTGGTGTTCCTTTTACCAAATTTCCTAACTTAAAGAGTACTATGATTTTCCTTTTGGTGACTTTATCCAAAAGTCAATCATTCTCTTCGTACCGTTTGACGTTAATAGTTGTTAACTACGCGGCTGATTTTTATATTTTATGAAATTCATATTTCCTACATATGAATTCGGATTTTTATAAAATTTATATTTTTGGGATCGGGGTTACACGTACTTTCCAAATATATAGTTTGGCGCACTACATATGTAGGGTTACACGACGTACAGACGATTTTGTTGATTTTTACTATTTATCTTAATCCGAAACTTTATATATATATATATATATATATATATATATATATATATATATATATATATAACGTATTAAGCCTATTAAACTCGACGTTTGCCACTTTTCGTTAATAACGATCGATGCCAAAAGGCGTAATTGTTACACCTCTATCCTAACATGCAAAGGATATACAATGGGATACCTGGCATAGTGAGAAACTCACATGAATACAACTGAAAGTCCACATGCCTCAAACACAAGTCAACACTGGAGAAACCGCACGCATGTACCACCTATTAACATCCTCAGTCCAAAACTCATATCCTATCAAGTTTGACCAAAAAGTTAAAAGAGTCAAAAGCTAACTAACTAGCTCTACGCTTAGCGTATCACATACTTACCCTCAGCGTTACACTAAAAGACAAAATAGATGAATTTCTTCATCCCTACGCTCAGTGTAGCACAATGCCACGCTTAGTGTACATTGTTCACAGAAGTAACTTTTGGTTAAGCTCTTAATCTGTTGAGCCAAAATTCCTGACTTTCCAGAAGTCCAATATACTCCAAAAGGACTCATAAAAACTGAAACTTTATGGATATGCATGTCCTACATCCTTCTAGGTCAAAAATGGTGAAAGTGTGACCTTGAACCCATACATGACACCAAAACAAGTCTAAACTCCAGATCTAAAGGATAGAACACTCAAAGGACATTCAATAATGATAAAGTGGCAAGATTTATCTATATTTCTTCCATTAAAACCATACAAGGGACTCAAAGACCATAATATGAAAGATCTAGAAAGATTGAATCATAAAGTTGGGAGCTTGATGACTTACAAAAATCAACAAGTTACACAAGAAGTTGGATCTCTTCTAGAGACACTCACTCAAGCTCTAGAGAATAGTGAACTTCCCCGAACACTCTCAAAATGGCACCCACAACAAGCAAAAGGAGTGAGGAGAGGGAAATTTGAGGCTAGGGTTTCATTGTTTAGAGGATAGAGGTTGATTCATAGAAGCCTTGAAAGTTAGAGATGCTTAAATAAAGCCCAAACCCGGAATCTAGGGTTTTGTACAAACAGTGGCGCTACGCTTAGCATAGACATACCTACGCTCGGCGTAGCTCAGCTATGCTCAACGTAGGAACAGAATTCTGAAATTCATCATTTTATATTAACAAATGGCATCTCGAAAAAACAAATGTTACAATGACCGAGAAAATCAACATGCACTTTTAAAAGTTTTTTTTAGATCAGGATTCCTTGGCACACAAATTGAGACGACTAGAGAGTGACAGCATGGTGATGCCACAAGTATGACATCACCATTAGGACATGGAGAGTACATGCATTTTGACTTATAAGTCCAGCCATATTCTTCACCTTTGCTCACACTCTTCCTTCACCATCCTCTCTCCAATCAAACTCTCTCTCTCTCTCTCTCTCTCTCTAAAACCCTCTTCTCCATTACTCTTTTTCTTTCTCTCGGCTAGACACCCCCGCCCCGACCACCACCAGAGGTGGTATGTTTGACCACTGTAGAGGTTGTTGCCCCTCTTTCCCCCGCCCCTACTTCATCGAACACAACCCACAAACACCCCCTCCCTCCCTTGACCGTTGGTGATGCTTTCCCCTCGACTTCCTTGTTGTCGGCATCGAGTAAAAGACCCACGAAGGGCTCGCCAAAACTAGTGGTTGCCCCCACCCTCTTCGCTACTGTCCAACCACCACCCACCACCCCTCGTGTCTAGCTACTCAAACACAATAGCCCCCTCTCATTTTCTAGTTGCAAAGCAGCACCGATGATTTTCGAGTTCAAAGGGTTGATTTTTGAGTTCCTCACTAGAAGCCTTGTAAGTCTGGGTTTTCGTTTGGTTCAAAAAACTTCATGATCAAAGTCGAGAAATCACAACTCGATCCCCGATCTACAAATCTATCACTTATTCATGCAACTAGGGTGAGTTTTTACGACCCATTTTATTATTTTAATGCTTTCAGGGGAAGATACATACACATCTCATTTTACGATAATTTACGCTCAAATATGTGTTCATAAAGTGTTTCTTTACATTTATTGCGTTTATTTACAATTATGTCAAGTTTATTTACATTTCGTTAGGTTTATTTCCTTATTTATATTTCGTTATGTTTATCTCGTTATTTAAATACACGTCATGTCTATTTCAATTATAAATGTGTTATTATTCATACGTTTATAATTAATTTCGGCTGTTTTCATGTTTGTTCTAAGGATAGGTTGATCCAAAAAATGCAATATAATTTCATTATTTAGTAACAGTAATGTAGCTTACTTTTTAGTTTTTCGTTAATCATTTATTTATGCAATAAACTTATCGGTTGCTAACATTTTACGTATATATTACATAAAATGATAAAGAAATATCACATAAAAGGGTTAATATATTTGTTAAATGTCAAAAAAATATTATGGATATGATTTGTAAAGATAATAATGTATCTCAACTACACTGCGCGACGGTTTTATTAAAAAATGATAGGAAACAAAATACTTGACCTGGACTTCTTGAGGGTGAAGTAAGAAAAAACCACATAGCAGCCATTAATGCAGAATAGACTGACAAAACCAAAACAAAAACAAGCCACTCAAAACCACCTCCTTCTGCGGCCATAATCACATCCAGGTTATCCCAATTTCAGTCACTCATTTACCCTATAAAACTTCTTTCTCCCTACATACTATAGTACACTTCCAACCCCAACCTTCAACAAAAACCCTTCAAGCATCTCTAACTTTTGATGAAAATGGACTTATGGTCATGGATCTGTGAGTTGCCAAACTCCGACGAGTGGTCACCCGATTCCACTTCTGAACTCACCTTCCACTTGGGGAGTTCAACACCTACTGAACTCAACAAAACTCTTCAACTCAAAGCAAGAAGAAAATTCTCCTCCAACTCCGATCTATTGGCATTCACCTTTTACATTTCTTATGAAGAAAAGGCTCTCTGGGTTTCTGACACGTGTCAGGTGAACTCAGACAACCCGTTCTTGCCTCTTGTACTCCAACTCATCCAAGAAATTATCTCCCGTTCACCTACTGCTCATGATAGCATCACCACCGCATGCCCGCGTTCTCAGCTTCAGAAGCTCAAACCCGAATCGGTTTCTTGGATCCTCGACTCTCACTCCCCTGAATCCTTTTCACCCTTTTTCAATCTCATGTTCCTTGCGAGGCTGTTCTGGTTGTGTGCCTGTGACGCGCCGTCGGAGGTGGGATCTCTTTATTTCAACTCCATGCTAGCTCCCAATCTCGAAGCCTTTTCCTCTAACCCGACGCCGGTACTGCGGGCTTTCTTTGTTTCTGCCGGCATCGACGTGGAGCTCTCTATCATGCGAACGTTCGGGTACATGTTGACAAAATGGTTAATGTTAAGAGAGTCGGGCATAGGTTTACAGTTGCTAACACCGTCTTATAATAACCTTGGATTCTCCTACGCGGCGGAGACTCATGGCTTGTGGATCTTAAAAGGCTACGCGCCGCTGATGGCAATGACGCGCAGCCGCTCCAACCGGGCAAACAATGGGTATCCTGTATTTGAAGCAAAGGAGTCTGTACTAAAATACGCACTGGCCCACCAGCAGATTGAGGCAGTCATCCAATTAGAATATTCAGTTGAAGTAAAAGAAAATTTCATTCTGGTTAACGCACGTGTCGACAACATACGAATCCACATGGCAAAACTAGGGTTCAACAAGAATGATGAAAACCCTTACATGCATGAGAGACATTTTCCAAGTAGAATCCGGGTTTGGATAGGGCCAGAAGCTGGGGCAAATTATGTAACCAATTTGACCTTGGGGAAATCCACGGATAATATTGAGAAAGAGACTGAAACACAAAAGATATTGAAGGGTAGTTTTGGGAAAACCAAAGTTCCTAAGATGAAGACGATGACGAGGACCACAACAAGGACAAAGGCGAGGACATGGAGATGGGACCAAGATTCAGATGGACATGTGGCTATCTTGGACGCAACATTATGTGACAACATAACAGGTGTAGAGATGTCCATGTGGCAGCCAAATGCTGGCGATGGTGATGGTGATCAAGTTGGTCAAAGCTTTCAGAAACGATACACAGGTGCACATAGGTCGTTTACTAAATCAGGAAATTGGGTATTTGGTGAAGGGTTAGAAGGGGTGAAATGGAGATTACACAAGGAAATGGAAGGGAGTGTGTTGAAGTGGAGGATTGGTGGTCAAATTTGGGTAACTTATTTCCCGAATGAGATAAAGAGCTCATATTTCGAAACACGGTGTGTGGAGTGGTGTGATGAGGTTGATTTGCCTTTGATTCTTGGTGCCTATTAAGTTGTATGTATACATATTTGTGTTTGTAACTTTGTGTTAAGCTTATATGTGACGACACACTAGCTTGATATTGTAAACGTAAACTATGGGTGTTACACTAAACAAATTAGCTTATCTCTTCTGTGTAAATATCATAACTTAAGATGCATATCTAGAGTCCCGTTTGATAGTTTCTGTCTGGGAAAATGTTGTCTGGTAAAGTGCTGTCTGGGAAAGTTTTCTGACTGGAAAAGAAACCATGTTGTTTGATTGTACATCTGATTGACTGTGCTGAATGATGAAAAAAAGTAATAATTCAATAAAAAATAAATTAAAAAAAAGTTATTTAAAAAAATTAATAATCCAATAAAGAAAGAAAGAGGCGGGGTTTGGTGTATAATTGTCTTCTAGCCCATTCAGCCATAAATATATGATTTTTGGGGCTTTCTGTGAAAGACATATCTTACCGGGAAAGACCCCTTCTTTTGTGCAAATCAAACAGTCTTTCCGGTTCATTCAGCCAGAAAGATCTGTTTCGACCTGGAAAGATGTGTATCAAACGGGGCCTTAAGTGTATGAATTAATAAGGTTTTTTATTGTTTTATAGCTTCGGCAACTTGTAATGTGCGAAATCCATTAACAAATGTCTTCTTTTCATGTATGTTCTAAATAGTTGCATGCACTCAATGCCTATCTGTGCGACACTTAAAAAACTACAATAGGGACTAAAACAATAAAAAGCTCAAGAAAAAGAGTTAAAAGTATAAATATCACATTTTTAGAAGTTTACATTAAGGTCATCGCCTCAGCAACAACAACTATACTTAGTTTGATCTCGTATGGTCATAGGATAAAAAGGAGGTGTAATGTATGGGTGAACAATAGTATCGAAACTCCCGATCTAAACCAGCATCAAACTGAACTAGCATCATTTACGTTAATATAGGACGACGGTATTGGATACTCTAAAATCATAAAATTCGAGATTCGGTATCGTCAGTACCGGTGTTCGCCGGTGCTAGTACCGAACACCGGTACTGATACCGGTAATATTAGTTCAGTTTGATACTCAGTATCAACTTCCCACCCAATACGGTATTCGGGAATCTCAGATATCTATTTCATCCCATTCTCATCCCTAGTGCAGCGTCACCAAATTATTTTTTCTTTATTTTGGGAACGACCATATTATTAAAGGGAAAATGATCTAAGAGGGTAATAGAGTTCTCATTTTGTACATGTTTAGTCATCAATGTGTTTTTTTTTTTTTTTTTTTTTTTTTTTTTTTTTTTTTTTTTTAAATAAGCCCTTGAACTTTTTGTTTTCGTACGCATTTAGTCTTTATGTCCAACTACTCCAGGTTAAGTTCTCAATTTGTACACATTTGGTCCTTAATGTTGGGGTTTTTTTCAGGTTTTGCTCACGTGGCATCCTACGTGGGACATTCATTAATGAAGTGTTCTCATACATGACCCGTCTAAGAAGTGGAATCATGTGTTACCTGTTTTGGTTTTGGTAACAACATTGTACTTTTGATATTAGTAAATATTATAGTACAGTACCAACTATATTTAATATCAATATAAACTTCATTCAATATCAATACCAACTACATTACATCAGGTGAAGAATATACATTATCTATAATAATTTCAATTGTTGGAAATAGCATCCATATTCACAATAGTTGATAATATTACTACTAATAGCATAATCACACAGGCAATGACAAACTTAAGAAATTATTGACATGATAGTTTATTGGGGATTTTGTTTGTTAATTTATTAGTGATTACTAAATTAATATAAGTTCGCGACACATCTCCTTAGTACTCGCAACAGTTGCCTAATTGGAGGTCAATTTGACATGTTCTTCATCAACCTATTGCCAAAAATTTCACTTTTTACCTAGTTTCTGCAGTAATAAAAAACAAAATTAAGAAGGTAAGAAAGGTCAATTTGAAAAGAACAAAAAACTCATTTGCTGAAAATGGTCAAAATCGACATACCAAGGAATTAGGGATGACTCTAAACTTTGTTCTAGGGTGTTATATTGTCTTGAAATTGCAAATTCAAGTTGGTAGAAAGCAATCACAAAGAATTTCATTGTCTGTCATGGAGATAGATGAAACTGCAGCCAAAGACATCTTCTTTTTAGAGAAAACTAGGGCACCAACAATATTTGGCCAATTCGTGATTTAAGTGAGGAAAAAGTCATGTATGTGAACACATCATTAATGATTGTCCCATATAGGATGCTACTTGAGCAAAACCTAAATAAAATCAGTCATAAGGACTGAATGTGTACAAAAACAACAATGACTTATCTTGCAACAAAAAAACAATAAGGACTAAATGTGTACAAACTAAAAACTTAACCTAGAGTAGTCGGTCATAAGTACTAAATATGTATAAAACAATAAGTTAAACAACTTATTTTACAAGAAAAAAACAATAATGACTAAATATGTACAAAATAAGAATTATATTACCCTTTTAGATTGTTTTCCCTATTATTAAACTCTAAAACAAACAACTAGCAAAGAGCTAGCAAGAGCACTAAAGTTATAGAAAATCAAAGCATTACAAGGGGAAGACACCCAATATGCCCAGTTAATTTTTTTCTACTCCAACTAAACCAACAAAAAGACATTAAGCGGACACAATTAAATTTGAATCAATGTTTTCTTTTTTCAATAATTGTGCTTCATTTCCTAATCTCTAAATTTCCCACATTGTTGTATTCACCACTTCGGCCATCAATTGAATCTTTGATGACCTTTGGTTAGGGGAGGTAATGGATCGGTTTGATAAGTTTCGAGTAGAAATGTTTAATTAAATGGGTTTAAAATCTCAATCTAACCCAACATGTTTAAGCAACCTGATTGAAAATTCCCAACTCACATTAAACTGGTTGAAACTATTAAATTATGGATCCTAGCTAATCTTCTCTTTGACATCATTGCTATTATGCAAAGCAAGCATGAGGTCTTACTCACTCCCTGTTTGGATAAAGGATCCTTACGGTGGTAGGGCAATACCCCAAGAAGAAAATTTCCAAGGGTAGTTCAAATATCCTATTCACCGTCTAAATGGGTCATAGGCCAAATTTGTCAGAGTTATTTTTTGGGTTTGGCCTTATTCACATACTTTAGGTCAAATTTCTTTTAAAAATAGACCCCTTATGAATTAGTGTTTCTTTTAACAAGAACAATTCTCAATACTAACCAAAAACCAGCAAGAAACTGGAACAAACACAGAATCACAATTACATATTGGAAGAAGCAACCTAAGGGGTATTCAACCACTCAGTCCACAACAAAAATTACAAGATTTCTTCCTAATGACAATAGAGAAAAAAAAAGGAAAAGTGCATGTCAACTTTGTCTAAGATAACTTTAAGCGACAAAAATCTTGTTAAGAGCTTAATGGCTTAAGCTCTTACGTCCCAACTTCAGATCCATGGCCAAAATATACTCTAGAGTCATAAAGTTTTGAACTTTATGACTTTACATGCCTACTAAGAGCTTAACTCAAGGTCTTAATCCATTAAGACCTTCTACAATATGCATGGAGCAAAACTAACCAAGGGAACTTCATTTTTATGACTTAGGAGCCCTCCTAGGGCCTGAAAGGACAACTCAAATCGTCAAGAACATGCCATTCTCAAGAAGAGACATTTGGGACCAAAAAGCACATGAAATCAACACATACTCAAGATCTAGTAAACTAGCCATCAAGGTATGAACTCTATACCTTGAAATGATGGAGAAAGGTGCAAAACTTCCAGATCCAAGCTTTGTTTCAAGCTTCCAAACTTTACCACCGCCTTCTTCTTCTTTTGGAACACTCAAAAACCCACACTCAACCTTACAATGACTCCAATGAGGATAGGGTTTACAAGAGAACACATTTTTGCTAATAGAGGCTGGAAAATGGGGAAAGAATGGGACTTAAGGATGCTTAAAATACTAGCCAAACCCTAAAAACTAGGGTTTCCCAATCTGGCAAGCACGCCCAGCATAAACTAATGTACGCCCAGCGTACTAGGGCGCGCAGCGTACCACATACGCATGGCATACTCCGAAGTCCTTAAATTACAATAATGTCATTAGGGTTCCATTGCATACTTTCTTGAACTAAGGGACCAAAATGCAACATACATAAATTAAGCGAATGAAATTAGAAGTAACTTGACATCAGGATGTTACAAGATACTTTGGCTAACTCTCTAGGAAAACATTCTACCGAGTCGTTACTCTGGCCAACTCTCTAGGAAAACATTTTACCTAGCCGTTACTCTTGCCAACTCTGTAGGAAAACATTATACCTAGTTGTTACTCTCGCCAACTCTCTAGGAAACATTATACCTAGTCGTTACTTTGGTCAACTCTCTAAGAAACATTATACCTAGTTGTTACTCTGCCAATGTCCCACAGATAATATTTACACTACGTTGTTGTTACGCCCAAATCAAACGGATAATAGTAATATATTATGCAATCACTACGCTCGACTCAAACGGATAATAGTGGTATATTATGTTGCCACTATGATCGACTCAAACGGATAACAATAATATATTATGTTGTTACTCCGCTCGAATCAAACGGATAATAATAAAATATTATGTCGTCACTTCGTTCGACTCAAACGAATAATAGTGGTATGTTAAGTCGTCATTACACTCGACTCAAACAGATAATAATAATAATATATTATGCCATCATCCCGCTCGAATCAAATGGATAATAATGGTATATTATGTCATCAATATGCTTTACTCAAACAGATAATAATAATATATTATATCGACATTCCGCTCGACTTAAATGGAATATAGTGGTATATTATGCCGTCACTACGCTCGACTCAAACAGATAATAATAATATATTATGTCGTCACTACGCTAGACTCAATCAGATAATAGTAATATATTATGTCATCACTACGCTCAACTCAAACGGATAATAATAATATATTATATCGTCACTACGCTCAAACGGATAATAGTAGTATG